AAAACACATTTTCATTTCAGCTCCCCTTTAGCAAGTTAGACAGCAGTAGATGTGAGAATTTGATTAAGGTGTGCTGCATCCATTTCCATGTATTGCTTTTTCCTTGCACGGAGCCCTGCGACATAACTCAGCATCACTTACGGTTGGCTGTGCCTGAGAGATGTTTTGAGACACTGCCAGCACTTGGCCTGCTCGGTTTGCAGCGTTCATGACACTATGTATTAAGTCATGAGTATCTGCCCATGAGCTCCAGTCGCAAGCAAACCCAGAAGCTCTGGAAAACCACAGAGCATCACAAGACTCCTGCAAAAAAACCCCACTCCTAAAACTATCTGTTTACTCAAGTTATGAACCCGTTTACTTCTGGAAACTGCTGAGTATTTTGGTAAAGTTACAGCAAACTTCCAGGTTATAAAAAAGACCTGAGAACTCATTATTAGCATTTCCCAGGACAATAAAGGAAAAGAGACCCCTTACCGTGGAATTCTCATTTTCTCATTTTCCCTGCTATTGCATTACTTCTTACAATTGGACATGATAGGAAAGAGCTGTACAGTCTGTTCAGGGAACCGGAGCAGCACTCACAGCTTGGGGAAATTAAAAGCTACACGTGATAGCTATTAGACCTGTGATACCAGGAGGGAGTGCTCGGTGATGAGTACAGTGTGAGGCTTTGAATAGGAACTAAGAGGGAACTAAGAAACAATAAAAGCATAAGGAGAAGATAACCTTGAAATCTCTCAGGACTAGAAGCCTCTCTCTTAACAAACACTTTGGGCATTAGTGTCCCCACAACTACTCTAGCACTGCAAGCACAAAGCCAAAAGGGAGCCCATCACTTCTGGAAAATTCTCCTGCCTGTCTTTCTCACCTAGAAATACTGGACAGCTCAGAAATGTCAGACAACTTTTAAGTGATTTCTAGTTGGATTATTACTGCTGAAGACAAGCATATCGATGTGCAGGACAAGTAGCTCTGGTCAGCCCAGGAGCTCTGTAGATGAAGCTCCAGATTGGTGGTCAGCCAAAATCAGCCTGGCAAGAGAAGTGGTCTTTAGCTTCAGCTGCTACAAACACCTTCTTTGCTCCACTACCCTATACTTCCTTTCTGGTGTCTTTTGCAAGTAAATCAAAGTAATTGACACTTGTGTTTGAATCTGCCCTACATTATCCTGCAACAGATTTTTAACCAAATTAACAGTGCTGGGGTTTTCATAAAGTGTGAAGCTCTGTCCTTTGTTATGCAACTAAAGGCTTTTTGGTTAAGGTTAGTGGGTTTCAAATTGGCTTTGAAAAGAGTAAACCAGCTCCATGCTTCTAAAACTGGCGTGTTGAGAGGCCCCTCCTCAGTGCCTTTACTGCCAGGAATTTCAATAAAATTAGAGTTAAGTGTCAAAGGAGAATAAAGAATAAAACTGATTAGCTGTGCGTGGCTAATAATAATAATAATAAAGTGAAAAATATTTTGGACTAAAATTAATGGACATGTCTTTAGTATGTCATATGTGAATATCTCTGCATGACTTCCACTCATGTTAATGGGAGCCACTTTGGGAGTACTCCTTGAGCTACTAATTCATCCCTAAGGGATCAAGTATAAATTTAAACTTAGAAAAGTCCTTTAATGTTAAAGCTGAAACATGGTCTTGAGTTCATACAGTTTTCAGAGAACAAAAGAGTAGTGAAATAAATTAGCAGTGATGTATTAGTGTGAATATTGAATTTCCTGAATTTAGTGATTAATTCGGGAGGTCATAAGTTGTAACATCCTGGTTCTGACCAATACCTGGCTAGTGTGATAGTCTAGTGTACCAGCACCAGATGCTACCAAATATCTGATTAAAAAACCACCAAAACTGCTTGATAATATGTTTATAATCAGCATTTTTTCCTAGGCATTGCCTGAAAAAGAGAAGGCTCCGGGGAGATCTCATAGCGGCCTTCCAATACCTGAAGGGGGCCTACAAGAAAGCTGGGGAGGGACTTTTCATAAGGGCTACTAATGACAAGACAAGGGGAAATGGGTTTAAACTGAAAGAGGGCAGGTTTAGATTAGATATTAGGAAGAAGTTCTTTACTGTAAGGGTGGTCAGACACTGGAACAGGTTGCCCAAGGAAGTTGTGGATGCCCCCTCCCTGGAAGTGTTTAAGACCAGGCTGGATGAGGCTTTGAGCAACCTGATCTAGTGGAGGGTGTCCCTGCTGAAGGCGGGGGGATTGGAACTAGATGATCTTTGAGGTCCCTTCCAATCCAAACCATTCTATGATTCTATGAATAGTGGGCTTAAGTTCTGATACAGACATGACCCAGGTTTGTTCAGTTTATATTTTACTTCTAGTTCTCTCAGAATCCTTCTGAACTATGCACCACTCGTATTTAAGGGTTGAAATTCCATATAGATTTACTGTGCAAAAAAAATAAAATTCCTTTTTATAATTTTAAATTAGTTCCCTTGTTCTTTTCTTAACTAAAAGATTATTTAGGAGGACCAAATTTTCTGTCTTTCACTGTGTCCTCTCTTATTCTTAGTTTTTTATAAAGAAAATTATCCAAAACTTTTGAGACACTTTACAAATGTTTTTGATGTGTATCTTCTCCTGTATCTCTTTTGAGATATGATTTCTGCTTCTATATACCTTTATATATACATATATATATACCTATATATCTTTTCTACTCCTGCCTGTACCCTTCTAATCATAAGCAGTCAAAACCCAGTATAAGTACCCCACCAAGTTATCCACGCTGTAATATTTGCTGTGTTATTACCTGTTCAACTCTGTTCCTGCAGAAGACTGTCTCTTGTTTTTTCTTATCACCATTGCACTAAGGAATTGTTTTCCTGAAGCTCTTCACTACTCAATCTTTAGTCCAACTTCCACCCCTTGTTTCTCCCTCCTCTCCTTGCACACCCAGTGCTATGAATAAATAGCTGAGACTACTCATCCTAATGCTTGCAGATCTTCTAAACTGCATTTATAAGTAGTTACACAGGCCTTCTGAAATCCTTCGCAGCCTTCTCTGCTGTTAAAGTATGTTATCTCCTGTGCTAGCTGTCCTTTTTGCCATCCCTCTGTCCATCTCGCTCCAGACTGATCATACATGAAATAACACTTAATCCATGTGCTGGGGGCACCCACAGGTAGCTACTTCCTAGGTAGAATTTTGTTCATCTCTTCCACCTCTTTTCTCTTTATCTCTTAACCAGCTTCTAAACCATGTCTAATCTTGTGGTCGACTGTTTGCTCTCTGAAGGAGGTGCCAGGTCTTTTAGCATTCTTGAACAACGCTGTGGTGCTGTATAAATATTTATTCACACATATGGCATTCTGAGTTCATTTTATCAGCTCATAGTCATCTAGGTGTTCTATACCTATTAATTTTTTTTCCAATTAACTTTTCTACCACTGAGATAAGTCTTTCTGCTCTGTAATTACTAGGGTCATCCCCTGCATCTTGTTTAAAATTAGATAGAATATTAACTATTTGCTTATCCTAGCTGATGTGGAGTATGCTGTATTCTGCAGTTAACTATGAGAAAAAGATCTCTTACCTTGTAAAAGAGTAACCACACCGCTCACAGCGAGGCAACGTTCTGACCTTCAATGGTTTTCTGTTATCGCAGCCCTAAGGTCTCCCAAATTAATGCCTTATGGTATGAGCCCACTTCACATCCAGATTTAAAGCCCATAAAGTTCATTTTCACTTGAGACTTAAGTCAAGTGGTAAATCAGACTCATATAAGAGATACGAGTCAGAAATTAAGTCAGCATGGCAAGTAGTTACCTACTTTCAGACAATTGATAGGTAATACCAAGTAACTTTCCTAGATATGTTCACTTCATGTCTGGAAATACTGATTTAGAGGCAACAATAGAAAATGCTCTTTCCTTGGTTTTTTTTCATCTCTAAATGTGTTCTGAATGGATTAAAAATAAATATAATGGACTTTGCTCTTATACAAAAATTTTGCCTTCCTAAAAATTTACTGAGTGGGAAAAAAGCTAAGGCCAAATGATTCAGCTGCTTCCTACAGGTAATAAATTTGGAAGGGAAGAGAGCTTACTAGTGACTTAATTGTCATTTCTAAGCATGGTCATAAGTTTAAAAGTTATAGCACAAAACAAGAGGAAGTGCAGTCAAATGTCTTAAAGAACACATGTCTCTGTGTTACTAAAAATAATATTTCCAGTGATATATACATTCACATTGTATCAGTCCTTCGCTGGGAAAAATCAGTCCAACATAAGCCTCCTTCTTGAACAAAGTTCACAAAGATGCTGTAGAAGCATCCACACAGAGAGGTGGCAGAAGTTCTCTCCAACTTCTAAATTAGCTTAGCCATAAATAGCTGTTAACACCCCTTTCTAATACATATACAAGCTACTTCCACTCTGCTCATTCACCACTTCCAAATGCAAATCACTATGTGATGTTGTGTCATTAAAGACATTAATATTAAACTTATTTAAAATCAGGCCTTCCTGCAGGTTCACTGTGTGGGTGTGCGTTTCTCTGCGGCTCATTGCAGTGAAAGGTATGAATGCTGCTCCATGAGGTACCAAGCTGGTATCTAGCATGGGCAGCAAGAGCAATGCCATTATCTAAGTCTAGGCTGCAATCTAAGGCCACTCGAACCTGTCTGGAAGCCTAAGCAGATCCTTCACCCCAGGAAGAGTGGTGACCACACGGGGCATTCACTTAAACACTCCGGTCTCTCTCAGATGACAGCATCTTTGCCTATGACACTTCACTGCGATCAGTGATCTTTTTGCCCGTTGATTTTTGCACCACAGATGCAACATGATAAACAATATAAGCATGATAATAATACTATAACATTATAAAGCATAATGATAGCAATAATATAACATGATATAGCATGATCAATATAACATGATCATGAATATAAGCAGAACACATGGATCTGAGAAAAGCTTTTATAATCCATGTAAGCAATAAATACCCAAAAGAAGTACCAAAGAAAAGAGAAAAAATACCTCATGATATTTTTTCACTGTTTTCCCTGACATGCACGTGCAAGATTTCCAGTTCGAAGTCCCGCAGCCACAGTTTCCTCCACAGCGCTGGACAAGGAGGCAGCGGGGGAAGAAAACTACATTTGTCAGCTTCAGTTCCTCCCTTAAATTGACAGAGTAGTTTCTCGGAGTACAGCTGTAACGTTTCACATCATCGTTCAACCTGTCCAGGTCAACTGCAATGCAAAAGAAATTTCATTAGTAAGGTCTGAGCGGGACATTCCTCTGGTCTACACTGCTCCTCAGGCAGTCAATAACACAAAGTGATGTGACACTGGTTGGGAATTATGTGAAGTATAGCAGTGCTTTCTGAACAGATAAAGACAAACCCACCAAATTTAAATCATTACAGGTGGCCACTCAGGCTCTCATCCTGCTCTCACTGACTCCCATAGCAGGGCTCACACTGACTATGAAGGTGAAGGCAAGGCTTGCAGTAAAACATTGGCCTGAAAGCTGAAGACTGGTTAGTTTATTTGCTTTGTCACTGATCTGTTTGATCCTTGGGTAAGAGATTTCACCTTTGTTGCTCTGTTCCCCCCTCTGCTTATACCTGACTTACTTGGATGATGAACTCGTTTTTGTTATTATGGACATAACTTCTTTTGCCTAGCTGCAGGCATACAAAAGGCAAACACTTTAAACAAGGCTCTTCCTGCTGTCAGAAGAGAAACGTCTTTGGAGAGTGATTCATCCCTTCCTCACAAGGGCATTTAGGACAGGTGGCATGACTTGCTTTCTCAAGTTGCCTGTCTGTATTGTTTATGGATAGAGACTAGATAACTCTCTTTCAGATGGAGAAATCAATCTGAGTAATATTAATTTCAGCTGATAGACAGCATCCTAATAAATACAATTAAAACTAATGAGCTTCACTGAATGCCAGTAGTTGGTTGATGTTTAAATATCTGGTAACTCTGTGAGATGTGTCATGTAAACAAGTAGTAAAGCCAGCCATAAAAATAACTTACAAGCTATCAACAGTGAGTTTAAGTGCTGTTTCTAGCTTCAGTTTGTAAAGCCAAAACAAAAAGAAAAAGCCCTTCCATAAATATATTTTCCACATTTGCAACACAGATAAAAGTAACAAACTTAATGAGTTTTATTTCTATACAAGTTTTCTGATTTATTTTTCCCTCCTTATCTGTTTTCTTCTTTTCCACAGGATTAAGTCCACCAACTAAGTGTTCAAAAGCTCAAGAATTCATTCAGGACTAGAGGACATGTAAACTTGTGTTGAGTACCCACCCCAAACAGTATTTGCTAATAGAAACATCAACAGAAAAATGGCTCAAATGAGACCTGAGATAACAGCGTAGTTCGTGAACATATCCGATTTTTATAGGCATGCTTAATAGTTCAATACCATCTCTGGTCCTTAGTCCACCTATGCTTGAGCATTAATATAAACATGTGAAAACCTCCAGCAAAGACACTTCATACTTCTGTGACTCAGTCCTTGTCAACATCACAAAGCAAACTGTGGAAAAAGCTCTGACTTGTAAATATCATGCACCTTTACATTCTGGCCTGGAGATATTCACAAGGCAGATATGCAAGAGGCAAAGGAACGTAAATGTCACAAATGCTGTTATAGAAAATCATAGCAGCTTCAGTGTTCTGGCAAGGTGTTATCTCAGTCAATGGGAATTTAGCAGATAAATTGTGATTTTATAGCAATTGTGATACATTTCACCATGAAATCTCAGTGGTTCTCTTCAGAGAGCTAGCATCTCTCCAAAAGAGGTATAGATCATTCTCCTGATATAAGCACAAAATCAATGGGGCTTCTGCTATACTCATGCACTGGGAGAAAAATACACTCCGAATGTCCACAGCCAGGACTTAGAAGTCCAGGGAATATTGATTTTTTAGTTTTAACAGATTGTATTTTCTTCTCCGTTGTCATTCTCCAGAGCCACCCCTTCTCATTGCAGGGTCTCAGGCTAATCCTTCTCACAAAGAAGTGTTTTCCACTCCTCCTAATGTTCTCATCAGGACCTTTGCTATCAGCTTTGCTTACTGATAAAGCAAAGAGGTGACAGGTTACTAATCATTTCAGCCAAATGATGTGAAGGAAAAATTAACCAAAGGAAGAAGAGGGCAGAAAATATTCTGCCTTCATGATTAGTGAGATTTCTTGAGGGGAAAGCCTGTAACATCTGCAGTAATGCAGAGGAATGGGTACTGATATGAGCAGGCTCCTATCAGGACAGGCTGCCACGGACTAGGATAGCATTTGCTGATGGTGCATCACTAGACAGAGTTAGAATAAAATGCTCAAAGGCTTAATTCAGCTGAGCTAACATAGGAAAGTAACAAACTGGTCTTTAAAGAGGGCCCAGACTCAGGTGACATGAACTGACATCTACGTTCAGGAGAAGAGGTCCTGGGCACTGAACAAAATTTGCTCTATCACAGATGAAATTTCCCCACAAATCTAACAGTCCTCCTTCCTGCATTGAGCTGATACCTATTATCACTGCTGCATTATCAACACAGAAATGAGTCTTTATAATGAGACTGGAAGAGAGGGGAAGCACTGGCATTTAAAGGAACGGGGGGTTGGGGGGGGCTGTCCTGTAGAGAGCATATTTTATCCATCACAGCGTTACATATATTAGCTTCAGTACTTGAGCTGCTCAGTTTAAATGGCAAGGGGTGACCTGGCAAAGGGCTTTCACTGGAGGGAAGGCTTTGCTCACTAGCCTTCAAAAGCCTAGTTTGGGTGACTTTCAGAAGTCTTTGCAGGGTCTCTTAGGCTGTAGCTGAGTCAATACTGCGGAGAGCTGTTGACTTGCTCAAAGCATCAGAGGGAATTACCAGATAATTAGGATAATTTTTTTCTCTATGCAGTATGAAAATATCAGCTGTTTTCAATGAGAGCTCAAAACTTTCTCTGGATAAATTCTTCAGGAATTCTGAAATCCAACAGCAGCAAAATAAATTTTATTTAGTGTATTTTTCTATGATGAACTATATTTGAAAAACCTACGGGAAATATTCCAATGGAAAATTGCATTAACTCTCCTTGTTATCATACTCAAGGCATTCTGATCCTGGCTTATTAGCAGTTTCTGAGACCCTGAACCCCAGTGTTATCAGATAAGATGTGAATTTTCTGCACTTTGCCATATCTCAGGTATCAGAGTCCAAGTTGAAATAGGCAAATACAATAGCAGAAAGGTCTTATTTTAGTGATGCTGAAATAATGAAAATAAATAACTTCAAGTAGAGAAGGAAAGACTAAATAAAGAGTTTAAGAGATACACAAGTCAACCTCCATAAAAATTAATCTGGAGGTAAACACCTATGCTCTTTTTTACTCTGTTCTACAGGAATCCAGTGCTTGGTGTGATAAGGTGAGCATGCAAAGTCTTCTATGAACAGCTTATACTGTACTCTGGTAGCATCACACTGACATCCAAGAACACTGCCCATTGCCTAATCAGCTTTAGATCATGGTTTGCAGCCCCCTAACAAAAGAACACATTTTGCTCTGAACAACTCTCTGCTGAAAGCTTCGATATGCATTTTCCCAGTCTTGGGATTGTTTTACTGTCTGGAGTCAGTCCATTTCCTCATCCATATAACAATGAGATTTTACACTGCAGTCAGTTTCATGCATCACTTCACTGCTGTGACTAAAATGTAACCGAGCCTTGGTGTGATTGGTGTGAAATCCTGCTGCTTTAGTTATCAAGGACTGAAACCACTGGAGTCCTTAATTTAAAACTAGAATTAAAACATTCTGTATACTGGATGCAAAGCACTTCAAAGTGTTATAACAAAATGTCTGCATCAGATTCAATTTACAGGCAAGGCAGACATAAAAAGATGTACTGGAGCAGTAAGCCGGATATGTGGGGTACAGTGTTTGCCCCCCTCCTCCCTCTGCAATCCTATGCCGCATCTGGAATATTGTGTCCAGTTCTGGGCCCCACAGTTCAAGAAGGACAGGGAACTGCTTGAGAGAGTCCAGCACAGAGCCACCAAGATGATTAAGGGAGTGGAGCATCTCCCTTATGAGGAAAGGCTGAGGGAGCTGGGTCTCTTTAGCTTGGAGAAGAGAAGACTGAGGGGTGACCTCATTAATGTTTATAAATATGTTAAGGGCGAATGTCAGGAGGATGGAGCCAGGCTCTTCTCAGTGATGCCCAATGATAGGACAAGGGGCAATGGGTGTAAGCTGGAACACAGGAGGTTCCGCTTAAACTTGAGAAGAAACTTCCTTACGGTGAGGGTGACAGAGCACTGGAACAGGCTGCTCAGGGAGGTTGTGGAGTCTCCTTCTCTGGAGACATTCAAAACCTGCCTGGACGCCTTCCTGTGTGATCTCATTTAGGTTCCTGCTCTGGCAGGGGGATTGGACTAGATGATCTTTTGAGGTCCCTTCCAATCCCTAACACTCTGTGATTCTGTGAAATCCATCCTCATTTCACATAGTGCTATGGCATGTGCTTACCTTGAAACATTGATCTTAATCATAGGTAAGCACTGAAATCAGGGACTGCAGCTAATACCATGTGTTATTCAGAAGGGATAGCCTTACAGATTGGAGAGAAATCCTGTGCTGCTCGTCACTGATTCATTTTATAAAGACAGGAGGACTGTTAGGGTTTCGTTTAACACTTTATGTCTTTGAAATTCATACATGACCCTGACATTGCCATATCTGAACATTTGACACTTTTTTTCATGCACTAGCCACAGACCAGAGCTGAGGTGTAAGAGATGGTAGCCACCTTGCCACAGTATTCCTATACCATATGTCAAGGTCATCTACAAGCAAGGCAAGAAGGACTCAGGCAGGTGCAGAGCAGTCAGCCTAACCTCAGCCCATGGTAAAATTAAGGGGTCAATCAATCTGGAAGCAATGTCCAGGCACATGAAAGACAAAAGGATGACTGGGAACAGCCAAAATAGATTTACCAAGGGCAAACTGTGGTGGACCAACCTGCAAGTCTGCTATGAGACGACTGGCTGGCTGGCTGAGGTGAAAGCAGTAGAGCATCTGTCAATTTTTGACAGTGATCCGTAGCATCCTTGCAACCAAATTGCTGAGATATAATGGGACAGGTAGACTACAAATTTGGTAGATAACGGAAGGTTCAAGAGACTTGAGCAACATCGTCAGCAATTCCAAGTACAACTGGTGGCTGGTTACTAGCAGTGT